CAAACCAAGAGAAAAAGTGGTCTTCATGGGGCAGATATATATTTACATCGTCCACAATTTGATGGTAAATGTAATTCGGGAGGTGCTTGGCTTGCCATAAAAATTACTTCTTTTTTGTGACGCACTAGAACCCTTAGCTGTGTAGTGGAGTGGTACTGTGACACATACTCAGTTAAGAATCCCCCTGGCAGTGAGGATGATTCGTATGTGAGGTCGAAACAGCAATCCAGTCAGATTATACCAACTTTTGGGAGGCAATTTTAAGTGAAACCCAATGAGGTCTTGGGGTTTGACTTAAGGGAAAAACTCAATTTTATTCTCTAAGTCACCTTAAGGAATATAGACTAAGTTCTTACTAAAGTTCTCCATCACACAACAAGTGTAAGGTCTACAAAATTCCATCAGAAGTGAGTGATAGATTTTCCAGGTCCTTATTTCCCTGAACGATGATGCAGACCAGAGATACTCATAAGACTTTCTTATGATGCCATTCATTGCCCTCTTATCATTGATAGTGCTAATGAAGGCCTTAATAATGCTTCTTCGGTTGCCATACAGTATCCTTTATACTTATTCTGAATCATTCTGTTTGCTTTCCCTACTTATTTTTAAAGCATACTTTAATTTAAGTTAAAATATATTTTCCAGGATTCAAGGGCGAAAATTGCCAGCTGCAAACCAATGAATGCAGTCCATCACCTTGCATGAACAGTGGCTCGTGTGAAGATTTGCCCGATGGGTTTGTCTGTCATTGTCGGAGAGGATGGACAGGCACTCGTTGTCTGACCCGCGCACTCGCCTGCCATTCGGAACCTTGTCTTAATGGCGCCAAATGTGAAGATCTCATGGATTCGGATGAAAACCAACTTGTTGGGGATCCATCTGAGCACGCAACTACCGAGCCGAATATAAGACGACCAGACTTGCGAGCCACTTACGTTGGGAAGGCGAGAAGAATTACTGCTCTGGGCTTCTATCGTTGCCATTGTCTGCCTGGTAAGATTTCTAAGGCACAAGATCACTCATCACAATTGGCACTGACCTTTCTAAAGCAACTTCTACCAACAGGGCAAAATTCGGATCCACAAAACAAAACAAAACAATGTCTACAACATAAGTGTGTAGAAAATCTGGGTTTCAAAGAATCCCTTCATAGATTGAGGTTGGAGTCCTTTTCATTTCGTTTGAAGAGGCGAGTGGAAGGGCTTCGTAAGTTGGTTTCATCGGAAGTTGTGGGGGATCGTCTTGGAGCTTTGATTGTAGATTTGTGCTGATAGGTCCTTGGCGTATGGCCCTGCGACCCCGATGAATCATTGTTGAGCTTTCATCCGTCATGTGATGGACATAGTCACATCATATCCTATTTGTAGCTGTTGGATACGATCAGAGAGAGTGTGGGGGAACGAGAACTACCACCAAACAAGAGGATGAGACTGGATTAGGCTCGAATCTGGCTTTGACTCTCACATCACATTTATTTCAAGAGCACGCATGCGTCATCACATGACGTTACATTTCAGGATCAAAGGTATACGTGTTTTAGAGGAGGATGCAACTGTTCGACCACAATTGCATGCGTTTCATGCTTCATTTGCAGCCACTTAACTTTTGAGCAGACATTTAGGCAAAACATAGAATATCCAAGCAAAACATTAGATACCAACTTGATACAAATACTTGATACCAACTTAGATACCAATATTAAGTGGACCAACTTGAACTGTTAGTGCTATTCAAGTTATTATGAATAACTGATCGATTATAAGCAAACTAAAACCGAATATAAATGGCGTCATCCATTGTGAAGACAAATATATTGTGACATGACTTTCCATTTCGAAGGAAAAGTTGGTCTGAAGAAATTCGTGATGTGGCCTTATCGGAAACCGAAGGAGGATTGCCGCGTTGGGAAGACTATTTTATTATGCGTGGAAGTCCTGAATCAACGTTATGCGTAGTAGGTTTGCAGCCGGCCACTTTTCTTGCCTTCGTGTTTTGGTGAATTATCGTTAAGAATGTTG